GGTGAGATCTTGAGGAGAGAAAAAGAGACAGCTTGGAGAGAATTTACAAGAGAGAGATCAATTTATTTTGGGTAAAAATCATAGCTTCATCTTTAGAATGAGCTTGTAAGTTGTACAAGTCGTCGGTGTTCTCCTTCATAGTGGAATCTCCCTTTACCCCCTCCCGTGGACGTAGGCAAGTTTGCCGAACCACGAAAATCTTGTGTCTTTACGGTTTTCTGGGTGTTGGTTATTGCTTGTTGGTTTCCTCGATATTCATACCTAGATCTAATATTGAGAAGAGTGTATATCTCACCTTGTTGAGATATGTTACTTCTGTTCTTGTTTTCTTTGTGAAACGGGAATATAGAGGTTGACTTGAGCTTTTGTGAAAACAAAAACCATAGCTTTTTCTCGGGTTATATCGCTTCCGCGGCGTGAGTGCGTGACTCTGCGCCCAACAGTAAGGATAACAAATAGGCGCCATATCAGCATTTAAAGAAGTATTAAAAATAAGTTTTTTTAAAAAAACAAACATATTTTTTGCTTGAAAAAACAGAAGTAGCCTCTATTTTCTTTATTTTAGCTACTTTATAATTACTTTTTTTGCAAACAAACATATACTCTAAGGATAAATAATTCACGCTAAGGAAAAGGAAGCACATGGGATCTGGTGCGGTGGATATGGTGCTTGATGTTAGGGTCATTGCGATGTTGGCCCCCAAATCTTTAGTATTTTGATATTAGGCCCCAAAATCATAAAAATTGCTCTAAGATCCCTCAAATCCTTCAAGTATGTTGAAATGGGACCCCATGTTATCTAAAACATCCAGAAGCCCGAACTAAAATGGAGTTCGGTTAAGTATTGATAGTGTTGTTCTTTCTTCTCTCTCTTTATAACTGTTCTTAGAAAGAGGATTTTCTTTCCTCTCTCTATCTGCTCAAATCATGCTTTAATTCAGATAGAAGATCCTCCCTCTAGTCCTAAATCAACACTACATCCGTTGGTTGAATACTTATCCTGTAGATTCTCCAAAAATTTGTAACATGTAGAATATTTTGTCGCCCTAAATCTGTCGATTGTGGATGTAAATTACTTTCTGTTGTTTTTTATGTTTGATTAGATTATTTTCCTCGGATTTGATTTGCGGTTTGTAGAAAAAGGGCTTCTAGAAGCAGTTTCTCTTCCATTACCTAATGTGAAAGCGTAGGATTTGTGTCAGGCACCTATGGTCAAAATAGATTTTGCAAGAGACTTCTTTGAGCAAACATTATGGGATGCCACAAAAGCATACACCAGTAAGGAGTTCAACAACCACGTGAAGGATTTGCAAAATATTTCACCTGCAGCTTATGCAAATTTAGCCTAAAAAAACAAGTTTGTCTAGTCTAGCTAGATCTTAGTTTAATAGTTCAGCAAGAAACCACTACGTCACTAACAATTTATTAGATTATTCCTTTAATGCTTGGATATTACAAGCTAGATTCCTCTCAACTGTTGATCTTGTGGACAAGCTGAGAAGCAGGTTGATGGAGGATCGAGTTCAATAAGAGAAGGAGACAAGGCTTCAAATAGAAGGAAAAACATGATTCCTTATGTAGATAGATATTGTCAGGATATTAGCAAAAGACTGGGTGGATACACTGTAAAACACGCTACTGATGAAGAAGCTGAGGTTGAGAACGAGTTTGAGAGGAGGACAATCATATATCAAGGAGAGGACATGTAGTTATAGAAAATGGCAAGTAGCTAGATTGCCATGCATTCATGCGGCTAACTTGATTGGGTCAACAAGAAATACAGGTTGGGCACAATTTTATGACTATCATTTCTCAGCTGTGAGGTATGTTATAACTTATAGCTTTTACTAAACTAGATTTTATGCACGTGCAATGCACGTGGTTAAATACTGTGATTAGGTATTTTTGGTTTATTTTCTTACTAAAATTTATTCATCGGTTACTCTTTGATAAACATTTTTGCTCACTTTGATTAAGTATTTTTGGTTTATTTTCTACTAAAATTTGTTCCTCGATTACACTTTGATTATTTATTTATTTGATGTTTGTTTGAATAGGCTACATCTAGTTTAAATTTTTATGTTGATAGTTGAATCAGGAGATAAATATAATCTAAAACCAATTTAAATTTTCATTTCATTTGGTTAGCCATGAAACTGAGCTTGACTTGAGGAAGTATAGTGTTATGAAAGTGAAAACACTTAAAAAAATAACATTATAAAAGAAAGATGAATAATAGAGCCAACGAGCCATGATGATTGATTTAAAATAGGCTAAAATGACAGAAAATGGTTAATAAAAAAATCATAAACTGAAGATTAATGCTAACTCTAGTACACTTTTATATGATAAAAACATCCACATATGCATATGAAAACACTAAAATAGTTTATGAAAATACCTTCTAAAGATTCCTAATTTTACTAAAAAAATAAAATTATTCTATAACAATTCACAAAACATTATGTTTTGTTACTTCTATTTTATTTTTATTGAGTCGTGATCAATCATTCTTCATCTTTACATTTTTCCTAGCCAATTCTTGAGTAGTAGTGTCTTCACCGTCTACATCGATTTTGATATGAGACTGGAGCATGTTATTTTTCCTTGGGCTCATTCATCTTTTGTGTTCTCGTCTAAATTCACAAAGAAGTTGAATATATTTCTTATATTCAACACTAACTTCTGATAATATGGACTTTGATTTTTCTTATTTTAATAAGAATAAATATTAATTTCATATATATATGAAGTTTTTTATGATTTTAATTTATTACTTAAATAAGGTTAGGAGCTATCTTTTTTTTCTCTGCAATGAATTCTTCTGTTGTGCACCCAATAAGAATTTATGTTGTGTCATATTGTTACATTTGCTTTGTATGTGTTATTTTCCATGAGGATCTGAACTAAATACATTAAATTTTTCAGTGTCAATTTGCTTTAGATTATAATACTAATATTTAATTTTGATATATTTATTTCATGAAGAAGGGATATCACTTAACCTTGGTACTAAATCATCGGCGATTCTACAACATTTATTATCTGGACACTTATTATTAACATCTTTATCCACTTTCTTATTGTAGCCTTTGCAAACATAGAATCACTACTCAACTCTATTATAAATGGTAGTTATTGTTACCTTAAAGGTGCGATAGTGTGTCTGTATATTGGTAAATTATTCTTATGTTTAATTATATGAATTTTAGAGTAGGTTTTCTAAGATCATACTTCTTTCAAATGTTATAATGGTTGTATATATTAGTAATTTGAATTTCTGTTGCATTTATAAAGAGCCTTAATAGAGTTGTTTTTATCTTGGCAGCTTACTCTAAAAGAGCGCTGCATATTAGCTTTAAAATATAATATTTTTTTCATTACGGTGTTATATGGATGTTTGTTTGGTTTGCTTACTATTCCCTTATTTCTTCAGTAAGTTGTATCTTTGGATTGATATATATTATTGACGCAATTTACGATAACATGCATATCTCCTCTATAAATTTGAGACAGATATAAGGTGAATTTTATATTTAGTGGCCTTTAATAATAATTTTACTAATGAAATATACTACGTTCATACTTATAGATCTTTCTTGAATTCTAATAGTGCTATTATATCATTATCTTTGGTAGTGTCTTTAAGAATTGATCATTCGTTAGTAGTCATACCCCTAAATAAAGTCACACACAGGGTCATGATACTATATAAGAAAAAGAAAAAAACCGATTTTATATTTTTTGCTTACGCAAAGTATAGTAATTTTTCTTTTATCTTCTATGAAGAATGTTTCTTTGATGAGCACAAAGTTATTTAATATATTCTTTAGGAGGTATTTAGTCGGTGTTTTTTTTATAAATATAACTTATGTTAGTGTTAATTGAAGTGATTCATGGACGTTGTGAATTCTATTTGAAATGAAAACCGCTTGATTCTTTTAAAGAATATCTCTAAATTTTCTAATAGTTCTCCATACATAAATCTTTATAATTTTTTACCTAATAAATATTATTACAATTAGAGATCAATATTTATAAATTATAATCAATTAATGTTAAGGTATTATATTATACTCTTTTATCAGTTTTTTGTGATTTAGTCTTCTATCAATTAATGATACTTATGTATTTTTGGTATTCTAACATATTGGTAAAATTATATGCAGTTACTTTAATTTATACAATAACATTAATTTTTAATCTATCATATATTTTTTAAAATTTTTATTATTTAACTAGATATTTTTAATCTATTATTATTACTATTTTTTACTAGTATCAACTTGACTATTTTCAGATTCTAAAAAGGGATAGTAAACCTTAAATTATAAGTTATATTTATATATCTTAATGAAAAATATCACACAATTATGTTGGCCTTCTTGTTTTGATGATGTTTAACAAACAATTTACCACTAATGTTGTTTGTCTAGTATTTGTGTTTTCTTATTTATTATAGACAAACAACATAATTGGAGGTTGGATGGATTGCGCTTCAACGATCATATCAAGAGGAGGTTGGCGGAATATCGGTGAAGCTTATGCAATTTAAAGTTAAAGATCAAGTTCAAGCTTCATCCGTGAGTTTACCAAGTTGAGCTACATTGAAGACCAGATCAAGCTTGGGTAACTTAGTTTAGGTTTTATATTATGTGTGTTAAGTACGTTAAGCTCAATATCTATACACACACATTATATTGGTTTTCATATATATATATAGTGATATATATATATAGTGATATATATATAGAGAAATCTTCCTGTGCGAAACAATTTTCGCACAGGACTGTGCGAAAACATCTCTGGGCCCTTGGATTTAACGAGCGGCTCGTGTTGGTTTCAGAAACCAAAAAAATCTCGTGACCTCAAATCCTCCTCCTCCCACTTCTAAATCACGTCTCCCTCTCTCACCTCAAATCCTCCTCCCTCTCTCTCCTCAAACCCTCCTCCCTCTCTCTCCCTCGTGAAACCCTCTCGCTCGTGAAACCCATCTTCACCGCCGCTGGGGTTACCCGACCAACTCCTCAAACCCTCCTCTCCCTCTCTCGCTCGTGACCCCAAGCACCGCCGCCGACCAACTCCGACTCCGACCAACTCCGACTCCGACCTCCTCCTCCAACTCCGGATCCGACCCCGAAAATCACCCCAGCGGCCACTCTCTCTCACTTGGATCCAAAGGGAGCTTGAATCAAAACTGTTTGTAGGTAAAATTTTAATTTTAATTTTTAAGATTGAGGGTTCTTGTTGTTTAATGAGTTATACATGATTATGATGGTTGATGCTTGTTGGATTTTAGTCAAAATTGCTTGTTGTATTTTTTTACTGTCCTCTCTAAAGCCGAATTTTTTTTGAGTACTTTACTGAGATATACATGATTATGATGGTTGATTTTCTACATTGTCCCTTAGTTCCTGATGTTCCTATGTCCTGATGTGGTTGCATATGCGACCACATATACTACCGCATTTCTCTGTTGCATATGCTCGATCTTCATGCTGATGTGGTGATGAATAAGACCCAAAATTGAAATCTCCCTTCAGCTAATGAATCCCTTTTCTCGGATGTTTGTATGCTTGCTCATTCTCAGCTTCAAGGATATAGCTTCTTAAATAGTTATTTCTTATTTTTTGATGGAAAACTTGTGACCTAATGTGTTATCTTAGTTGCAATAGAATATCTGTTTACTTTGATCTTACTCCATGCCTTGTTGCTGTAGATATGCGGATGCAACGGTGCTGTATTCAGAAAAATCACCTGATCAACAAAACCCATCAAACAAAACCCACATATATGTCGGGTCTTTCATGTCACCTTATGCGATTTTACTTCATTTTCGCTTTCCTTGGCCGTCTTTGGATGAAGTTACTAAATGTGAATCTCTTTGTGCAGGGGTTTATGTGAAGAAATTCAGCAATCATCCAAAGAGGGCTGTATCTTTAATGTATCCAAAGTTTGATCCGTTGATATCTCCCTCTGTGTTATGGTTGTCTTAATTTATCCAAAGAGGGCTGTATCTTTAATGTATCCAAAGTTTGATCCGTTGATATCTCCCTCTGTGTTATGGTTGTCTTAATTTATCCAAAGAGGGCTGTATCTTTAATGTATCCAAAGTTTGATCCGTTGATATCTCCCTCTGTGTTATGGTTGTCTTAATTTATCCAAAGAGGGCTGTATCTTTAATGTATCCAAAGTTTAATGTATCCAAAGAGGGTTTTATCTTTAATGTACAATGCAATTAAGTTTCTGTTCCCTTTCATTGTTATGGTTGTCTTAATTTGTGTTGGTCCGTTGATATCTCCCTCTGTGTTAATTGTCCAGAATGCTGTAACGTCATATGTCGGTTGTCTCACTTTCCCGATTGTGAATGCATCAGAATTTGTGTTGCTGCAAAAGCTGCTACTGTGAATGATGAACTTTTCCAGTACTTCGCTAGATTGTGGGCAAAATTTGTGTAGCAGAGTAGAGACCGTGCGCCTACCCTTGCAGTATAGTCAATGCTTAAAGTCAGTTACTTCAATCGGCGAGTATCTTGCTAGATTGTGAATGATGAACTTTTCCAGTAAGAAGGGTAGTATGCGCTACTAGTAGAGTAGAGATTGTGTTTTACGCTGTAAGTTCATACAATTTTCAAGATTTTTGCAATACAAGCATAAGTAAAACAGCATGCTGCTGCACTAGCTTTCCATCTTGAACGTATAGGTAACTAACTAAAAGTACATGGAAATATAACCACCTGAAAAATTATACAAGATTGAAGACAAACGAAGGATGGCTGAATCGAAACAAACAGATCTATTTAAATTCATAGAGGGTGTTCTTACAATACAAGTTAAATTTCTCAATTCCACATCCTATAGCTGAATCTGAGCAATAAATAGATGACAAATACTATTAGGATTAGTACACGGTAGATTTGACTTTAAGAACTTCGTCTCAGTTTAATCTACAAGAGCCATTCAGCAAATCCATGCAGTGAAATCCACAAACAGTCAAATAGACGCCATTTATTCCCATTCGATAGTAGCTGGTGGCTTTGATGTAATATTTGGCCAACCACATCAACGAGAAACTTGTGATCGAAATAATACCTGAAACACAAACGACCAAAATCAATAATGATTTGGGCAACATATCGAATTACTGGTTTTAGATACAGGACTAGGCAATAACTTTGATGAATGACAAAGGTGTCACTAGGTAAAAGATAAAAATTTTGGATACATGATGTTATCAAAATTTATGTCAATCCAAGCCCTAAAAGGAAGAGTCACACACGGGGATATTGCTAGTAACGTATAATGTGGCTTCGCTGTCCTTCTCATAGATCATACTGATCAGCCAGAGAAACAGAAGAACATAAAAAAGACGGCAAAGAACAAAAGAGATATAGGGTAATTAAATAAAAAATGATGAGAACAGAAAAAATACACGGTTCAGGTTAGTTAAAAATTTTTAGTGTGATTTTCGTCATTTGGGACTCTGAAGTTACACAGGGACTGAACTTAGTTTGAGTCGGTATAAATACAGCATGATACGTAGAATAGTTCAATCATATTGATCACAATTTCAACAGGATTGAACTTCTAGAGTGATTCACTCAAAAATCACAAAGCTAAGAACCAAATGGGCATTAAGAAGCATTAACAAAGATGCCACAATATACACATGACACCCACAAACTCTAATAATATTACAGATGCTGCTCCACGAATCACTAGCTAGCAGCACATAATCAAAACATAACAAAATGGGACATCAACTGAAGCAATAAAATAAACTTAATATTATCAACACTCCTTCAAGCTGCGATAACATTATGGTAAATTGAGTCAAAATAAACTTAATACATAAGGCATGTTATCAACTTGCACAAATGACTTTCCAAATCTTTATTAAAAACAAGTGCTAGTTAGTTGACTAAAACTAGAAACTTAAGAAACATGTAATATAAAAAAAAAATAACCAAAACCATGTCATATTATAGAGCACACAACTTTCCAAATGTTAAAATTGATCTACGAGCTGTTTCCTTTCCCACAAAATCCAACAATAATCTTCCCATAAATTTATCAAAATCCAACAATAATCAAAGATTCGCCAAGAAAGGTTAAGCCTTTTCAAGATCCAACAATAATCTTCCCAAATTTTATCAAAATCAAGCAAAAAGTTTAGAGAGGACCTCGATCTGGTCGTGGCGGTGCTTGGGGTCACGAGCGAGGAGATGGCCGATCTGAGAGAGAGGAGATGGCCGCTGGGGTTGGGGCCATGAGCGCGGGGTCACGAGCGAGGAGATGGCCGATCTGAGAGAGAGGAGATGGCCGCTGGGGTTGGGGCCATGAGCGCGAGAGGGAGAGGGAGTCGGGTTCGGGGTCACGAGCGCGAGAGGGAGAGGGAGTCGGGTTCGGGGCGTGGCGGTGCTTGGGGTGACGAGCGAGAAGAGGGAGAGGGATGAGGGTTGGGAAGAGAGAGGGTGGAGGGTTTATGGGAGAGAGAAAGTGAGGGTCTGGGGAACGAAAAAAATCCAACGGAGAGAGATGAAAGGGAAGATCCAACGGCTTAAAGCCGTTTTCGCACGTTACTGTGCGAAAAAATTTCGCAGCCGAAGATTCCTCTATATATATATATGTATATATAAATTAAATAGTAGTTATATATGAGGTGAGAACCATATCGTTAGCACAAGTGTTTGGTGGCTTGGCGATTTGGACATCCGGGGTTCACCTTGGCATGTAGCCTTGTGTGAACCTGGCGCGTCACAGTACAGAAGGGCCGAGATATCCAAGTGTTGACAAGACCGAGTGCGAGATGAATCGCGTGTGCGAGGGAGAACAGAATAGTTTATGCTCGGGGTTTGCTCGCTTTGTTCAGAGGCTTAGCACATGATATTAAGGCAAGATCACTTACAACCAAACTTCATGCCCATAGTTAAAAACTAGTTTAAAAGCGTTTACAAATTGTGTTTACATGCTTTAATCTTAATATGTGTCTCTCTCTCTCTCTCTCTCCTCTCTCTATATATATATATATATATATTATAATATAATATAATTATATATATATATATATATATATATATATATATATATATATATATATATATATATATATATACTATATATCAATATTTATATTAGAAAATAGATTTAAGATTATTTAAGTCTTAAAATTAGTACATAGAATTTAAGTAGAAACATTAAGTGGATTAAAAATATGACATCATATGTGCAATAACAAATAATGCGTACGTGTGATCAAATTTTAAATGAATACTTGATAGGCAAATGAATCAAATATATATCTGGTTAAATTCTATTTGTTAATAAACTCAAGTACTAAAAAACATTTGTTTATTGGTAGATGAACTACTAAATAGAATATGATCAAATAGTTACTCGAACAATTATCAAACTAATAGTTAATTATTTTGTTTATTTCCACCCTATCAATGGAGTGTCGATCTCATACTCTATGATGCGGCATAATTATGTACCAAAATTACAAGTGCACAATTTATCAAGTTATAGTATAAAAAATATCGATCCCATGAGGAAGGTGATTTTAAGAGATTATTAGAAATGGTTCTTATGTTTTGTGCATGACAATTAGGAATAAAGAATAAGTGTAATTATGATGAGTGGTTGTTTTGATTTATGTGCAAGAGATAATAAATTGAATTTTAGAGAAGAAAGAATCAAAGAATAAATGAAATCACAAGGCAAGAAATATGAATTAATAAAATCAAGAAATAAAACTAAGAATGAAAAGAAAATTTAAGAAAGTCAAGATGGAGGATTCAAAAGAGGTAAGAAATCTAGAATATAATCCACTAACCAATTTTAATTACAAAATATAAACTATTCTCTTTTTATCATATTTCAACTTAGATTTATTAAGCATAGATTATCAAACCATTTAAGGAAAGTGTAACCTATCAAATTATCATCTAAGTTAAAATTACTATTCATGATAAGAACAACAACATGATAATAATCCTAGAATTCATAAGCATAACCTATCAAACCATTTAAGATAAGCATAGATTATCAAATTCTTCTTCTACCGATTAGTTCTCTAGTTGATTATCCTAAACATGAACATTTTAAGTGTAAGAGAATAATTCATACAATATAAGAGAAATTAGACTAGTTTCATACAATTCTAAGATTCTTACAAGAATTAAATTCACATCTTAAGAAATAAAAGCAAGAAGAAAAGGAACTAATTACAAAAATAAAAAGAAAAGAAAAATCTAAACTATGAACAAGAAATAAATCTAACTACAAAGAAAATAAAAATCTAAACTACAAAATAAATTACAAAAATTATATACAAGAAAATAAATCTACTCTACAAATTAAAGTACAAAAAAGAAATAAAAAGACAAGAAAATAAATCTACACTATAAGCATGAATTTAAATCTAACTAGTAAGCAATAATAAAGAAATTACAAAAAAGAAATAAAAGAGAAAAGAAATGCAAAACTTCAAATTGCTCTTTATCTCCATCCTCATCATTCAACAAGAGGAGAAAGAACAAATTTAAAGTGGAAAAAATTATTATTATTAATTACAACTAAAGTTATAATTTTTGGAAGGCCTTCTCAATTAAGAGTAGCCCTCCTCTCCAAAAGGAGTTTACAAAATTTTCACACCTCTAACCCCTCACTCTCTACCCCTATTTATAGTAATCTTTAATGAATATGAGCCATTGGATTTGTCTTGAGCCCCAAGCAACAATCTCCACCTTTGAATTTGGTTTTTGTTCTTCTCTAGCCCAATCTTCATTTGATTTTCCAAGGCCCATTCTTCAATTGATTTTCCAAGCAAGTCCAATGTAAAAAAAACTCAAGGCTGCAGCCAATGGAGCTTCCAAAAAACCAAAAATGTCTCCAGCCCATATCCATGATTTTCTCATTTGATTTAATAAAACCTAGAGCTTGCAAGTCCGGCCCACTTGAGAGAAAAATCCAAGTTGCATTGCATCAGGTCCAGCTAGGGGTGCATTCGGTTCGGATACGGTTCGGATATGACCCTTACCATAACCATAACCACTTTCTGAAAACGGATATGGATACGGTTCGGATATTCATCGGTAAGAAAAAAACAATACCATATCCGCATTAAAACGGAAACGGATACGGTTCGGATATTAGAGGTTCGGATACGGTTCGGATACGGATACTAATCGGATATTTGGGAAATAAATATGAGTAGGATATGACAAAAAATAAATATGATTTTAATAACTCACAAAGTAAGACAAGTAAGACAAGTTACCTCAAAACTTTGTTGCTATTCTGCATGACAAAGCTTAGAACACCATAGCGGGCCTTCTTCATAGGCTAAAAAAGGGAACAAAGTATATGAAACGATGTTCATTACAAATAGCAACCATCCAATACATCGTGTATTATTAATAAGATATACCAAAGGCTAACTCAAATTTTCTACTTTCTTTAACATACCAACATTAACGTCCACACCCAAAGGACACTGAGTCATCCATGGAGAAGGGGGTTGCTGCATAATAAAGAAGAAAAGGAAGGTAAACGAGACCCATTTATAGTTACCCATGCAACCAACTGAAATCAACCAGAACAGTTCATCCAACCTCCCATTAAATGTACACTATTTAGAAATCAGCAGAAAGGGGAATAAACAATACCATATAAGGAATGGGTCTTCCACCTTTCACGTCAAGACCATTCCTGACATCGCTAATTGGACTTGGGGTATAATCAGAATCATCAGATGGACCTGTGGGGATGTTTTACATTCCTTGATCACCTGTTCCAGGCAATGGAGTCGGGATTGGGGTCTGCAATGGTGTCTGCAACCAAATTAAAGAATTAAAGCAAGCCCAGTACTGATAATTCAACTAAACAGACCTCTTCTGTCAAAGAAACTTACCGGTGGAAACAGCATTTCTGCTGATGGAGTCTCATACTCCTCAATCGGGCCTTCATATGGAACATTCAAATAAAAAATATTAGGATTTTCAATTCAGTCAATAAATGCTAAAAGTTAGGGCTTTTATCAAAAAATAGAGCATAGGGGTTTGAATTCACCTTACTGGACTTTGGACATTGTCGTAGGCGGGGTGGGACGTGTAGGCGGAGGCGAGGCAGGGCACGGAGAACATATCTCGGACGCGGGAGGTGGATCTCGAAGGCGGGAGGCAGATCTCGGCCGCGGTGGGTTTTCCCGCTGGAGGCGGTGGGTTTTCGAGCTGGAGGCGGTGGGTTTTAGAGCTCGAGGCGGGTTTTCGAGCTCGGCGGCAGTGGGTTTTCGAGCTGGAGGCGGTTGGTTTTCGAGATGGAGGCGGGTTTTCGAGCTGGAGGCGGGTTTTCGAGCTCGGCGGCGGTGGGTTTTCGAGCTGGAGGCGGTGACGAATATCGAGCTGGAGGTTTGGAGGTGGAGGCTGATGGGAATGGGAGAGATTTAGGGTTAGTGTTTTTGGAGTTTGATTTGGGTTGCGGATATTTGTTATAGACCCGAGTCACCCGACCCAATAGAAATTAGCTCATTTCAAATATCCGGATATCCGGACCGTATCCGCAATTTTGACCCAATAACCGTATCCGAAACCGTATCCGGATAAAAAATCAAAACCGTAACCGTATCCGAAACCATATCCGAGCTGTTTCAATTTTTGCCTACCATATCCGCTTTCTAAACGGATACGGTTGCGGTCGGTCCGGATAAAACCGGACCATTTTGCACCCCTAGGTCCAGCCCAAGTGATTTTCAGCAATCAAGTTTGAAGAGCGGCCCACATCCGGTTTCATTTGATCTAAAGCCAAGCAAGCCCATATTTGAACATGCAACAATCAAGTTTGGTTTTAATTCCACACCTGCAGCACCTCAATTCCCTGTCTGGTCCAATGAAAAATAGATCAAAGCATTGTTTTCATTTGATTAAAATTAGCAGCCGGCCCATGAAGAGTTCGGTCCATGTAGCAGGTCCAGAGCTTTGATTTCATTTCCAAAATCGAAGATGAGCAGCAAGTCCGGTCTTCTTTGGAGCTCCTCCCCATTCAAATGATTTTTCAAAAGAAAATTGAAGAGCAAAGTCCACAAGTCATTTGCAAATAAGTCCGGTTTTGTAATCTTGAATAAGTACATAAAAGCCCACTTCATTTCAATTATTTGCATCCAAGTCCACATTTGATTTTGAAATTCCAAGCCTCTACAACCAAGTCCAGCAGTCCGGTTCTATTGGCTTTTTGCTTCAATGTGCTTCTAAAATGCTACAAAAATAGAGAAGAGAGATTTTGAGGGGTTTTTACATTTAATAATATTTATTTATATTTCCATTCATTTATGTATAAACTAATCTAAAAACAATTATTAATGGTATATTTATTCATGTAAAATAGATAATGAGGATATAAAATTGTAATAAAAAATATGATTATCACTCTATTGATAGTCTGACAAAGGCGGTGAGTCTTCTGATGATTGAAGATTGTTGGAGCTAAGCTTGATATCTAATCTCTTTAGAGAATGTTGAAATCTCTAAGATTGCTACGATGCAAAAGTTCGCAAGATGCTAAAAAGTGCGAAAGTTTCCAAGTGTCCCAAAATGAAAAATCTCCCCTCCTCTTATATGCTAAGAAAGAGATAGAGCTAGTGGCCATTAAATATAGATTTAGTGGCCATTAGCTCAGGAGATAATGGAAAAAAAACTATTTCCATAAATATAGCTCTTGAAACGCTCATAGGTAAGGTTCGCCAATAATAGTCAGGGTAAAGCTCACTCAACGGCCATGTACAAAGTTTGTTCTAGGGAACTTTGTTAGAATGTGGGTAATCCACTTCTCTTGGGGTGTGGATGACATGGCCATATGCAAGGTTTGTTCTTTGGGAGTGAAGTTCATTTTGGGTGAACTTCATTTCACTTTGACTTGGTCTTCATAGATAGCTTTAGTGTAACTTGGGCGAGCTTTGCTAAGATTTAGGCGAGCTCCGCTATGAATCATGCTTGGACCACTCTAATTTAATTAAGTGTTTAGCCCATTAGTGTTCACTTCTTGAACTAATATTAGGCTCAAGTATAAGATTTTGTGTTATTCTTACTAAGTATCAGTCCGGGATTGAGCTTGTATACTTTAACCATCTACAAAGGCCCCCACCCCCATAGTTTTCATGATCCTGTGCTTGACTTGGAAAGGTAATGAAATACTTTGGGTAATAGCCAGAGATGTATTGTCGAACATAGCTTCAGTTGTCTTGTTCATGCAAGATTTCTCTCCATTTGACTACTTGGTTTTCTGGAGGTGTACTGTTGAACATGACTTATGTTGTGGACTCATGTTGATTGAGCACTTAGTTATAACTGGATGGTATCAGATTTTGGGTTTAGGACCAAGTTCATTTGCCCTTGGATTGGGGCAAAGTTCATGGAATAGCGATGTTCTCTGGGCCCTAAATTTTGGCTAGGATTCCCTTAATTTTAACTCTTTGTGCAATTTTTGCTGATTGGCGAGGGTCACCAAGACCGTTGCCCTTAGATCCATGCCTTAATTCATGGCTGAGATCTCTCTTGGTGGTTAAGTGTTTGGTGAGATTCGCTGGACACTCTAGTATTTAGGCTACTTTTTAGCTTCTTTGTTAGGTCCAATCACTTCTCGTAAGAAGTGATTTTTATTTTGGGAAGTTAGTTTTGGAAAGCTTATAAATAGCCCGATATGGAAGTAGAGAAGTAGAGATCAAGCCACTTCAACAAAAAGTGGCCCAAGTAGATGACAGTTATGTGGAGGAAATCTGTATTCTCTGCCTATTGGTGGATTTGCATTTAGTTGAAAAGGCTATGCCTGACCAGACTCTAAAGAAAAAGTCGAAAGCATGGTGTGAAGTGAATCGTAATGGGGACTCATGGAGTCTTGAGTGTCATTCTCTTCATAAAATTATTCGGAGGTTTCGATGGTGCCAAAATAAGGAGCCTTGTACTCCCCAAGTGAAGACTCTAAAAGTGATTAGGTCTCACAAATGTGGACCTAGAGTGCAATTAGATGTCGTCTGGCTTCCTTGGACTTGATGCCTATATTAGTTTGAGAGTCTTCTTTTTGTTCCTCAATCATCACACAATTAGGAGGAATGAGAGATCTTCTTGCTTTGTGTATTTCCTCTCTGCTTATCAATTGACACAAATTTGGAGTAATAGGATCTAGCTTGCTTTGTAGTTTGAGGGTCTGAAACTTTCTTGTATGCAACCTTTATGATTAATGAAAGAGTTAAATTTTGTGAAAACTACCTTTTTCGTGTGTTTGATCTGTGCATGGTTTACCTCTTGAACTTGGAGTGAAGCTTAGTCTTCGTATATAGGCGAGAGTTGTTGAATGAGATTCACCTAATGAAGTCTCTTGCAAATTAGGCAGAGTTCGCTTAACTTTGAGACATGAGCGAAGTTCGCTAATTAAATTACTGAGACTCACTTAGATAATTTGAAAATCTAATTTCCTAATTTTCATGCCTTAATTTGAGGTGAATATCATTCTTAGGCAAAGTTCAGGGTTAAATCTTTTGGGTGAAGAGCAGGACAATATCTCTAGGCAAAGCTCGATAAAAGCCTATTAATAGACTGCTCATCTTTTTCTCTTTTCACTTTGCCTCTAAACCCTAGACCCATCAAATTTTTTTGACTCCTATATCTTAAGATCTCTTTGATTTCAATATCTCCCTGTCATTAGCTAGTCAAGAGAAAGCAGGCCGTCGGCAACTATCATCGGTCAAACCTCACCACTGGACCCCATAACTTGAGATGGCGCTAGGTAAGCTTCTAAACCCATCTTCTTTCTCAACCTGGCCATTAATGGTAGGGCTTTCTATTTGCTAAAATAGCCCCCATCAGGGTCGAAAGTTCTTCAAATCACTTGAATTAGTTTCATCATCAATGACGAAGCTTCAATGATCGTACTCAGTTTTAATTCTTGGCTTCACCGATAACAATGAAGCTTTGACAATCTTCCCCAATGGTAGTTCACATGGAAAAATTTAGACCTCATACTCCCCTTTTATCTGGTTGACGATTAATTTAGAATCTCCATGTACTTTAAGATATTTCACAGCAATATCTTTGGCAAGCTGTAAGCTAATTAAGAGGTGTAATGACCGTTAAATTTTGATACTAGTTAAAATAATTTTTTGATATTTTATAATATTTAATTATAATTATTAAAAGAGTATTTGTATTTTTCTTGATTTTCTATAATTTTTTATGATTTAAAAATCTAATTATATAGTTATTTAAATGATTTTAATATTTATAAATTTATTTTGTGCAGTAAAAATTTCTATAATTAATTTGTTATGTTATCAATAATATTATGTATTATTTTAAATAATATGTTGTGCTATTAATATTATTACGTAATATTTTGTATAATACTTTATATTATTAATTACGTATTATTTGTATAATTAGTTGTATTGTTTCTAATGTTACATATTATCTGTCGTATTAGTGTAACTAATACGTTTTACTGTGTATGTAATTATCCAATAATTATTTTATTTTAAATATAAATAAAAATATTTTTTATTATTAATTATTCTTGCTGAGTTGTACAATATGGGTATATTTTGACTATTTCGTATCAACTTTTGTATTAGCACAACATGTACGTTTTTAATTGTAGATAATTATCCCATAATTATTTTGATTTTTAAATATTCATAATTATTTATTTTAATTATTTTTTGTTTTAAATACTTAACCCTAAACCCTAATGTACTATATAAATATATATTATAATCTCTCTCTTCTTCCCCTCGTTCTAAAGCAGCCGCCGCCCCTTTTATTTTTTCTCTCTCCTCCCTCTCTTCATCTCTCTCACCCCGACGTCGAGCTCAGGAACCGCCACCCCCTTCACCGCCCAGACGTCCTCCTTCACGCGAAACCGAGCACCCAATCCCTCGCCTGGCCGCGCGTCGCCGACGACCGAGCCCACCCCGCTGCCTCCTCTCGAGCTCAGCCCAAGCCTCATTGGATCTGACCCCCTCCTCTCACCATCCGCACTGCACTCCTCCCCTTGCTCCCCGTAAACCGCCACACACCCCACCTCAGCCCCTCTGGAGCCGCCGTCCCGCCTCAACCCCCGCTCGCCGTTTAACAGCCCCTCCTGCTCG